AGTGTACATGTTTGTAAAACTAAAAGATAAAACCATATTGCTACAAGCCTGCTATTTCAGATGAGATCAGGGAGTGGCTTTTCTAATGTTACTGCCAGTGTTATTTATGATTTATTTTTTTTTGCTTATTTAAGGCTTATATTTTACCAAATTGATGGCTTTCTAGTTTTTCAAGCTGGAAGTGCTGAAGTCTCTGCAGAGTAGAAACACTGTTTGGATAAATAGTCTAGGGTATGACTTTACAACTGTCTGTTAAGCTGTTCCAAGTCCATGCTGCCAACAAGAATTGTGCTCCTGAAAATGTGTTCCAGCTTTCTCCCTTGTACTAGTGCTTGTATAGTCTGGCAGATCTGGGAATTAAATCAGCTGAATTATTTTTTTTCCTGATTCTGTTTCCAGCTGCGTTGGTTTGCAGGCTTGACTTGATTGTGTAGCCACAAGTCCTCTAATGTCAGCATTGGGGATGAAGAAGAAATACCAGGTGCTTTTGCAAGTAATGGGACTTGCTGTTTTGGCAGCAACACCAACTTAAACTGACTTATGTCACAGTTTAAAAAGAAAAAAAAATGCCCAAGTTCTCTTTTACAGCTTATAATTCATAGCAGGATTAAAGTCTGGAAACTTTTTTTTAACTGAAGAGACTATTAAATGCTACCAATATTTCAAATACTAGAATGTATTTCAAATACTGTCAGTATGTTGTAATAATTGCCACGTTTTTCCAAGTCACTTCTGTTTTCATTCATTGAAATTGTGCTCACTGAAGTGCATGTGATTCAGGCATGGGAGGATTGGAAAGAAGACTAGTTAAGGAAAAAAAAGTCTCATCCTGTGAATTAGTTAATACTGATAGCAGATTACTTGGTATATGTCTGATCAGAAACTGTTTAATATGGTAGTCAGGTCTTTTGGTTTGTTATCTCGAATGGTATAAACGCTCAATTTATACACCTACTTACAAGGTACTCAACACATTTTCAAAAATGCTGATTTTATTACTAAGTTGTGGAAGAAGGTCTGAGGGAGCAGTTTGAGAAGGTTATGAACAATCCGATAGCTTGATGTCACCCAAAGGATGGGGTCAGTCTCTGTGTTCCTCCTTCATCAGCCAGCACTTGATCTCGCCTCTTGGCAGGCTGACCCAGTACCCTAAGCTGTCAAAAAATATTTTGCTTTTTGCTGATGGATTTGTTTCCTGCCAGCTTGGTGCACTGAATGAGCCCACAGGGTCAGCGCAAGGGGCAGAGGCGGTGGGAGGAAGCTGAGCTTCTGTGCTGGTGTTAGCTTGATTTTTGGA